GTAGTATAGTTTCAAGTTGGGGATTGTAATTCCCCCAGCCATGTCTCTGTTGCTTAGAATTGCTTTAGCTATTCTAGGTCTCTTATGGTTCCAAATGAGTTTTGGGATTGTTTTCTCTAGTTCTGTGAAGTATATTGTTGGAATTTCAATTGGCATTGCATTAAATCTATATAGTAGTTTTGGAAGTATGACCATTTTCACTCTATTGGTTCTTCCTACCCAGGAGCAAGGGATGTCTTTCCATTTTCTTGTATCCCCTTCGATCGCTTTTTTCAGAGTGTTGTAGTTTTCAGTGTAGAGGTCTTTTGCTTCCTTTGTTAGATTGATTCCTAGATATTTCATTTTTTTGTAGCATGCATACCTATTAACCAATCTCTTCTTGAAAATAGGCACAAAGATATGAAATGAAAAATAATTCTAGTTGCTAAGTAGTAACATACACTCCAGGACCAAGAAGCGGTTGCATAAAATGCAAATGGGTTTTAATATTTAGGAAATATATTTATATGATGCATTATGTTAGAGAAAGAAAATCTTAATTATCTAAATAGCAAGAGGGAGGGCATTTGTTTGGATAATATTCAAGATGTACTTTGATGCAATCATACATATAAAAACAACATTTTTATTAAAACCAATAATAGAGATTTCTGTAACTTAATAAAAGTCATTTATTGGAAATCACTATGAAATGTTATATTTGATGGTTAATTATCTCATATTTAATTTAAATGAAATAATAGGAAAAAGAAAACTGTTAATTTTCAATATTATTTCAAGAACTTCACCAATGCAGTAATATAGAAGAAGAAAATGAGGAGCTATTAATGTTGAGAAGGAAGAGGGAAAGTGTCATTAATGCTATAAATGATCCAAGAATCAAAACCAATGAGCCAATGGCATGGACAGAATTCTGTAACATGTTAAAAGTCAGGCTCACAAAAGCAAATATTTTATGTACAAAATTAATCAAATAGCACCGGGGATTTAGCTCAGTGGTTCCGCCGCCTGCCTCGCAAGTGCAAGGTCCCGAGTTCCATCCCCGGTACAAAAAAAAAAAATTAATCCAATAGCGAAGGTAGTGGAAAAAGGATCACAGCCACAGTACAACAAAAGTATAAAACATGTAGGAACACACTAAATAAATGTTTGGAATCTGTGTAAGGAAAACAAGAAAACATTACAGAAGGCTGTAAAACAAGATCAGAATAAATGAAATTTCTCCCAGATGCAAAAAGAATATTTTTCAGTTCTCTAACATAATCTATAAGTAAAATGTGATCCAAATTAAAATAATAACTGGATTTTTTAAAATGTTCTTTGGCAATACACCATTTTTATATTAGCTAAGGCAAATTCCCAAACCTTGTGACTTAATACAATGAAGGTCTTTTTCCTTACCTTATCTAAAACTATGTATTTTAGTTTTTACTCACTAGGGATTTGAATCAAGGTGGTATTCTTTAAAACCCATGCTCCCAAGCACTATGCTATATTGACATTTTGCACAATATAAAGCTATTTTTACTTATCATTACTTTTCTTTTGAACCGGAATTTGTGTTTATTTGTGCTTATGTTTAATGTGAAAAGATATCTCAGGGTATAAGAGTGGTTACTCCACTGGCTGGTAGTTATGGAGGATTTTTACTTTTTGTTTCTGAATGGTTTGAGCTTGTTAAAAAAAAATACATTCTTTGCAACATAAAAAGATTTTTAAGTAAAATTTTGTCAGATTGAAGATATTTGTTGAAGTCTTCCAATGTCCAATGTCACAGTGCAAAAGTTAAGACTGAATATCCAATGAAGCAACTGCTTTATGGCAAGCATTTGCTAAAAATTTGTTGGATGGATGAATGGCCAATCTCTCCTACAGACTCTAAACTCTGGAGTTTTGTGGGTTAGAATTTTTATCTAACTGGTCCCACTCAATAAATAAATTCTACTTGTTTTTTCTTATTTCTTGCCATAGTTTCCCCCTTCTTTTTTATTGCAGTCTTTAACTTTTGCCTAAAATTTCATTTATGTTATTGAGTCAGAAACCTCAAAGCCTCTTGTAATACATCTCATCGATAGAAGTTACCAATGCCTGTAGGGAAAAACACTTAGTGGAATATTATGATTTCTGTTCCTAATGAGGTAAAGCTAATAATACACAATGAATCTATAAATCATCTTTAAGTTCCATGTTGTAAGATAATGCTGAATTTTGGTGCTTACAAGGTTTTCCTTGCTTTGGGAAATCAGTTTTAATCTGGACTGGTTGAAATATAATGGGTACTGTTTCTTTTAGAGAACATTGTATTTGGAAGACAAGGACTACGCTTCCAATTAGAAGCACATCTTTCACATTTGAGAGAAATCCAAAGCCCCCTGGAACATACTGTGACAATCCAGTGCACTTAGCAACTGAAAGAGCGTGGGCTGTGTGTGGAGCCTGGTGACATCGAGAAATCAATTTGCAAAAAGGCGGCTTGAAATTTGCAGGGTTTTTTTTTTTAATCAAGGTGTTGTGAAGAGGTGTTGAAGCCACGAAGCAATTAGAAGTGACATGCGTGTCATTGCTTGTATAATATTCTGTGGTTTAAGTTTTCCTACATATGTTTTCTGCTCCATTTTTCCTTCTATTCTAAGAGAATAACATCATGCCTTATGGACATGTGTATAAGAGAAACACCTTCTGTCTGCAGTGTTTGTTTCTGGTGATCATATCTCTCTTGACAGTTCTTCCTTCTTGCAGGATTGTATTCACTACAAAGGGAAGAACATCATAGAGTCCTCAGAGATTTAGGGAGAAAAGACACATTCTCTTCTGAGATTATAGTACAAAATATATGCCTTCCCTAATCAAGGATTTTTTGTTCAGAGCACGTTCTCCTCTCAGAGGCGAATTTCTTATGAGGGCACCCAGAAACAAACACAGGAAAACAACCGGGCCTCTGGAAACGATTGGAATCAGGACTAGAAAACTCTTATTAACATAGACTATCCTCTTTCTAGCTTCTGATTTTGCTTCTCTGAGGTATAGTACTTTTCTCTCCAAACCAGTTGTTTCTGCTTCTCTGAGCTCCTGGCAGAAACTAATCACCTTTATGTTCAGTTTCTCTATACCTAGCAGAATCTCAGTTTCAGATTACTCAGGAGAAAGAATCTGATAGGCCCAGCAAAGGCAAGTAATAGGACAATCTCTGGTCAAATTACTATGTGACTGGTAGAAGCTACACCTTCTGGAAAGAGACTGCTGGGTGGGTGAGTGGGGAGTTGTTTTTGGAGTAAAGGAGGTTTGCATTCATTGGTTATCCACCTGAAAGTTGTAGAGCAAGCTTCTTAAGCCATATCTTAGAGCTCTTCTCTGGACTATTAGCATCACTAGAATTCTTTTAGGCCTTCAGGCTTGAAAACAGATTCATTTTCAATTTTCATTTTCCTTCACCTTCCATATTTGTTGTCCATTTTTTGTGTTCATTTCTTCATTCACTCAGCAGTTATTTGTGGAGTGACAGCTAAGTGTCAGATATTTTTTCTAAGCATTTCGGATACAATAACTAACACACATAAGTAATCCTTGGTCTCGTGACATCTTATCAATTCTTTGCTTTTTCTCATTTTATATGCAGAGGTTTGAAAAACAGTGCATGTGTTGTGAGGAACTGAGAACAACAACAACAACAAAATAAAATGAGTACTTTTGTTGAAAAGGGACCTGGTGATTTTAGTATTATACCCATGATACTGTGGAAAGTGTTTGTGATTGAGGTGAATATTGAACATTTGCTATGGTGGATAATCAGAAATGTTAAATTTCTCTATGATTTTACAGAGCTTCCAAAACAAACCTTTTGAAAAATGCACTTGTCACCTTAATAATTGCTTTTATATATTTACTCAAAAGATCAATGGCTTTTTGAGTAAAAGCTATTGGAGATGCAACTTCTCATTCCAGTTGTTTTCACTCAAATATTTTGTTATGAAATATAAAACAAATGATGCAAAACAAATAATTAAAATTAACATTATTGAATACTTGCTTTGGTTTAGCCACTGGGTAAGCACTTTGCATGTATCTATTCATTTAATCCTTCCAACAAAATATATATACTAAGTTTAAATTTATGCCCATGTATCAGCAAAATCTAATCAGTTATTTAAATTTCATCAATTCCTAATCTTATATTTTTTCTTTCTTTTCTTCTGCTTGCTTTGCGGTTTTTTCCCCCTCTCTCTTCTTTTTCTGGAATTTATTTTAGTTGTTGTTTCATTGTTTTCGCTATTTTGAATTGGGAATTTGGACTATTAATTTGAAACTTTTTCTCTTTTAAAAGAAAGCATTTAGTGCTACAATCCTAACTTGTTAGCACTGCTTTTCCCTAGTCCTGTAAGTTTTTTGGTGTGTTATATTTTCACTTTCATTTAGTTAAGTGTATATTTTGATTTTATTTGAGATTTTCTTCTTGACAAATGGGTCATTCAGCATTATGTTGTTTAGTTTCCAGTGTTTGGAGATTTTTTCCTGTTATTTTTCTGCTGTTTATATCTAGTTTGAGTTCATTGTGGTAGGAGAACACACTGTGTAACTCTAATTGTTTTACTTTTTTTTTTTGAGACAGGCTTTCATTATGTAGTTCAGGCTGGCCTTGAATTCACTATGTAGCCCAGGCCTTGAACTCATGGTGATCCTCCTGCCTCAGCCTCACAATTGCTGGGATTACAAGCATGTACTGCCATGCCTGTATTTTTTTTTTTTTTTACATTTTTTGATGCTTGTTTTATGGCTCAAGATATGATCTATTTGATATATATCGTATGGATACTCTAAAAGAATGGTGCATTCTATACATGTCAATTAGATTCTTTTAATTCATAGTGTTGAAGTTTTCTACAATCTGATTATTTTTTATTTAGTCAATCCATTATTATTGAGAGAGGGGTGTTTAAGTGCCCAGCTATAAGTGTGAGTGTGTCTACTTATCTTTTTAGTTCTATCAGTTTTGGCTATATTTTATAGCTCTGTTGTTTGATGCATGCACATTTAGGATTACTATGTCTTCTTGCCAGATTGATTCTTTACCATTATGAAATTTTGAGCTCAAATTGACCTTTCTGCTTTAGGTTCCTGAGTAGGTAGGATTACAGATGTGTACCACCATTCCCAGCTTGAAGTCCACTTTATCTGAAATTGATATAGCCATGTGTTCTTTCTTTTGATGTATATTTACATGGCATATATTATTCACCTTTAGTTTTCAAGATACCAATATCATTATATTTAAATGACTTTCTTCTAGACAACATGCATTTAGATCATACCTTTTCACTCTGAAAATATATCTTTTACTTGGTATTGTTAAGCTATTTATACTTCATGTAATTATTGATATACAGTATTAGGACTTAAATCTGCCGTATCATTTTTGTTTTCTTTGCTAATTTTTGTTTGTCTCTCCTCTTTCCCACTTTTCTGTGGGCTATGTGAACATTTTTTTAGGATTCCATTTTGACTTAACTATACACTTATATCTCATCATATAGCTTTTTTTTAGTGTTGCTCTAGATGCTACATTTATATGTAACTTATCACAATCTAATTGCATCAATGCTTTACCAGTTCAAGAAAAATGTAGAAATGTTATCTTTCTTTATGTGTCTGTCTCTTTACCTTTACATTTGTAACATAATTATTTTAAGTACTTTTATATGCATTAAAGGCCATATCAGGTGGTAATATAATTTTTGCTTCAACTATCAAACATAATTTAGAAAATTCAAGAGAAGAAAGTATATTGAATTTATTATTAATATTATTATTTTTTGCTTTTTTGTGGTATAAGGGATTGAACCCAGAGCCTTGGCACTGAGCTACATACCTAGACTTTTAAAACATTTTTAAAAATTTTGATATGGTCTCACTAAGTTGTCAAGTTTCCCCAGCTGAACTCAAAGTTTTAAACCTCCTGCCTCAGCCTCCTGGAGTGCTGGGATAATAGGGGTGTACCACTATGCCTGGCTTTTATTTATTTATTTTTTTTTGGCTTCTTTTGGTTTATTCTTCTCCCTTCCTTATATTCTAAGGTTTCCTCTTTAGTTATTACTTTTCCATTTAGAGAATTTTTAAAGCCATTTTTCTAGCACAGGTCTGCTGGTGACAAATCCTCTTAATTTTTCTTCATAAGGAAATGTTGTCAGGCTGGTCAAGTTAGAATGATTTAATGTGCATTTTGAAAAATTATTGTGGGCAGTATGAAGAATGAATTAGAGAGAGGTCAAACTAGAGCAGAAAGATTAGTTAGGAGGCTTTTTCAGAAACCTCACTGAAAGAAGATGAAGACCCGTGCCAAGGCTGGTATTTAGGGTTGGAGAGAAAAGATAGCCTGGTGTAGTGCTGTCCAATGGAATCATACAAGCCAAGAATGAGAGACATAAATGTGATTTAAAATTGTCAAGTTGCCACATCAAAAAAAAATGAACAAGTGAGATTCTTTTTAATAATATACTTTACTTAATCCAATATATGAAAAATATTGTTCTTTCAAAACATCATCAATGTAAAAATGTTGATTAAACGTTTTTTGTATAAAGCTTTTGAAATTTGTTGTGTATTTTACACTTATAGGACACCTCAGTGTGACTGGCCACATGTAGCTGGTAAGGAGACCACAGTGTAGACATGGACTGGACACCTGAACACAGTACTCAAATGTGGTCAGTGGCTGCCCTATGGGACAGTGCAGTTATAGGGATTGGGGCCAAAGTGGGGTAAGAGGATCCAAAGATACCAAGGTCTCTTGCTTAGATGACTGCAATGGAGTATCCAATGGAAGGACTGAGAGGCTGAGTTGACAGGACTTTAGCCACTTCATAATTCGGATCAATGCTTTGAAGACAACTTATACGGCCATGCAATCTAAGTAACGGAGTGCTTTCCTAGAACATGCAGCTTCAAACTAGTCTCTGAGTTCTTCCTTCTAATCGATTGCCACACCAGTCCTCTTCTAGTGTGAAATTTTTGGATCCTCCACTAAGGGCATCTATTATTTACTAAAGGAGAAAGAAGGAGAGGAATAATTTGGGAGAAAGGCATGTGTTTAGTCCAGGGAGGGAAAGGTAGGGGATATAGTTAAAGAAAGATGCAATTGTTAGAGGTTCATGTAGGTAAATTAGTGTTAGGAATTTTTGATTTTAAGTTTATAGTATTTTTGTCATGTGCCTGTATCTTTATGATTTATCTTTAAGAAGTGTTATTTCTTTATGACGAAACATTTGTGTTTAGTTTAGAAAAACTGGAATGTACAGAAGGAACACTGAACAGTTTCCTTGCAATTTCATTTTCTTGAGATAGTAAACTGTTTATAGTTTTGTTTTGTTTTGTTTTGGTACCGGGGATTGAACTCGGGACCTTGCACTTGTAAGGCAGGCGGTGGAACCACTGAGCTAAATCCCCAGCCCAATTGTTCATAGTTTTACACTGACTTTTACATTTTTCAAATGAATTTTTAATTATACAAGTGACATAGGAAGATCTTTTCTTTGTTGAAAAAGTAAAAACAGTGCAAACAAATGTAAAACATCATTTGATTTATTATTTCTAATTCTAGGTCCCTCTGAGATGTAACCACTTTTAACAATTTACTGAGCATTCTTTTAAAATTTAACATATTTATTCCCATTCTCATCCTCATTCCTGCCCTCTCATAATGTATATAAACATACATATTAGTACAAATACTGTAGTATTATCTGTGGTACTTTGGTTTTTTTGAGACAGAGTCTCACTATGTAGTCCATGCTGGCCTGAACTCACTATGTAGCCCAGGCTGACCTCCAATTCACAGCAATCCTCCTGTCTTGGCCTCTCAAGTGCTGGGATTACAGGTGTGCACTACCACACCCAGCCTGTGGTACATTTTTCTAGATAAATATTATCACACTGTTCACAATATTCTGCACTTTTTATTAAGAAAACTCTTAAAAATCTTTTCATTTCTAAACAAAATCTACCACATCCTTAGAATGCTGGCTAGATTTAATCCTACAGATAAACCTTAGCTTACTGAGACACAGTTAGATTGTCTCTGTGCTTTACTACTATAAGCATTTAGTGTTAACAGTGACTACATGATCTCTATACAGCTGCATATGCATGTTTATACATATGTGCACATAATTACCCAAAGATGATTTCAAAAACATGAAATTTCTGTGTAGTCGTATGTCTGCTTCTACAAAAAGCTCAAATACTAATACTTTAAACAAGATGGAAGTTTATTTTTTGTCACATAATAATTTGAGTCTCAGAGGTCTGGAATTGGTATTGTGGTGTCACAGTTAGGAATCTAGCCTCCTTTCATTTTGCTCAGCCTTTTGAGTTGTTGCTGGTGAAAGCATCCAAGAGGGCTTATGCTTGGGACATACCTTAGGCATTGCCTTGGACTTCCTGTCTTCCCTTATCTACTGGATCCACCATCACTTCCATTCAGTTGTTAACTCTTTCCACTACTTTCAAGCTAAAATAAAACACCACGTTACAAAGTATGAAATTTGGCACAATCCCCAGCAGCTGCCTACAGGGCCAGGTCATCCACAGAAGCGGCATTTATGCAGAAGGTAGATAGCAGGTACATGTTCTCTCTGCATATCCCTCTTATAGACTAAGATATGGCAGATAGAAGTCTATATAGCTTGGTGGGAGACTTCCCCCATGGCTCAGCAGCTGGCTGGATTTCCTTATGATTTGTTGACCAGCACTGTTTTTCTTTTCCATGCATCCCTATTTCACTTCCTTTCCCCCTCATTCTTGTTTTATGGGAATTACACTACCAAATAAAACACTCTCACTTAAGTCTTTGCCTGAAACTCTTCTTTAGGGGACCTAGGTTTACACAATAGGAGTGAGGGATAAAAATGTGGGTCCTGGGGATGAGACTTTGAGTTAAATTGCCCACATATCTGAAAGCAACAGAGACCCAATTATTTTAGGGCAGTTAATTGACAAGTTGTGTTTCAAAAGACATAATGCCTTTATTACAGCTTGGGGCAACTGCACAGTAGACTGCTGGAAACCAGGGCTACGATCTGATTATACAGCAGATATTCCAGGTCCAGACACCCTGAAGCGAAGAGACAAGAGTAAGAAGTTTGAGTTCCTCTAACCATCCAGGCTGGAAGACATAGCCTCTAACCATTTGCCAGAGAAAAACAGGGTCTGCTTGCTTGGGGGAATATTCAATGACCTAATCTGAAGCAGGTGCTTTCAAGATGAGGCTTGTTTTCCTCAAAATATGCCCCCGACATACTTCATTGCCTCCTGGCTGAATAGCAAAGTCAGGTTTCAGCACAGCCTGAGCAGGAAATTACAAGCTCTGGTCTGAGAAGAAATAGACCACATGCCGAAGGGATTGCAGGATCCAGCTATTAGGCATTAACAGAAAGTGAGAGAATATGTGTGGGAGTGCATCTGGAACACAGTAGTCTGTCGTCCATGGTTGTGCTTGATTGAAGGGGAGACATAATATTTAGCAGAACCCTGGTGCAGGATTTTTAACCTCGACAACCAGAGCTATGGTGGGTGAAAGGGACAAGCAGAAGGGTCTGAAACTGTCCGTACCAAATATCACACTAGAAACAATATT